ACGATCTTTGATCTGCAGTTGGCTTTGCTCTGGCTAGCGCAATGCCGCCAAAGGCAACAGTGGCGGCTTCGTTTCAGCCATGTTTTCTAGTGCTTGCGATGCCGTATGACGAGTTGCCGATAGTTGACAAGCCTGAATTCGTCATTTACAGGCCGGGCTATTGAAAACACGTGTGATAGTTGGTTGTTAGTCCGCCGCCAGCTACCACCCTGCGCAGGAGCGTGAAGCCACCCAACACCACGGATGGTATGCCAGTGGCCTTTGTGCACAAGAGTGACAAGCAAACCACTGCAGCTGGTTTTGGTACATCGCTAACCTACCTCACAATACATGATGGTCAGACTGACAGATTGAACCACATGCCACCAACTGTTCGCAAGAAGTTCAAACATGTGTCGCACCTCCGCAGCTACATGGGTGTGGCTTCAACGAGCAAAGTGTTTGCTATTGTGGTGCAATCATACACTCCAAAGGGGCCTTGGACGTATGAGGTGTCCAACGTGTGGATGAGAAGTGGATACGGCAAGGCTCATATTAAGTTTGTCCCTGCTCGCACCCCAAGTGCATCCGACGTGATCAAGATCTTTGGCAGCTGCAAGGGACCGAACACATCAAAGCCAGTTGAACACCTTGAAGATTCCCAAATGGTGTCTTGTCAGTTTCCTTACACAGTCTAAGGGCACCCATTTGGAAGGAATTATTTTCGCTTTTGAGCATCCATTTGGGGGGCATTACGGGCATCCATTTGGGGGGCATTTGTTTTGTGTTTGACGGGCCAGCCAAACCGTAAATTTGAGCAGCCATTTGGGGCATCCATTTGGGTGGCATTTCGCGTTTGAATCGCCAGCCAAATTTTGAGCATCCATTTGGGGGGCATTAGTTTTGTGTGTGAAGGGCCAGCCAAACCGTATTTTTGAGTATCCATTTGGGGGGGCATGATTTTCGTGATTGAAGGACCAAACAATTCGTAATTCTGAGCACCTGCGCCTAGGTGCACATTTGGACAGTTATATATGTATATATATATATATACATATATGTGCTCAGTGCTCATCCGCATGATTTCTGTTTGGGTCTAATTGCATCCCGGTCACCAAGAGAAATCGAGTGACCCTCTCTTGACTGACTTGACTGAGGAGCAGGCTTCAAGCTCGAGCAGTGGGGTCAACGTGACGAATGTGATAGATCACATCCAGCCGCAGCCTGTGGACGTGGAGAGTGTGGACAGCCAGGCTTCGCGCGTGCAGTCCGAGCAGTGTGCCACCACTGAACACACGCCGCAACACCAGCATGTTGAGCCAGATCTACGTGCTGAACCAGTGTCTGAGATGCCCGGGTCATAGTGTCAGTGCTGCTTTTTAATCATTGCGCAACCCCAAGACACAAGACACATCGAACCCATCCAAACGCAAGCTTTTGTTCGGAATGGAACATCTGCACTCATCTGCACGTTTCGTTGCAATGAGCACAATTGTCACAATATTGTCACAATGAGTCAATGAGTGCCTGGCTATTCGCATTGTGTGAATGATTAATTGATGCGCTGACACACTCAAGCTATGCAAGCAGCCTAGGCTGACCCAAGCGAGGGCTGATGACTCGCAAGAACCGCAGCACGTCCAGCCTGCAGAAGAACCACCAGCTGAGTCACACTGCGCAGATGATGCAGGTGATCAGGGCCTGGGTGACACAGGCCCATGCGCGGCATCATCTAGGTTGACATCATTGACACCCACTGATGTGTCTGACTTTGAGTCAGCAAACAGACCTTCGGCGAAACTTTCAGCGACCATCAGTCCAAGTCTGTTTTACGAGTGCTTTGGCACATTAACACAGCATATAGTTCCACGCTTGCTTATGTAACCAACTCCATGTCAAGGATGGCCAACCGATTTTCTGCTGACCTACTCCACCATGGATGCCGCTATGCATGATCACTCCATGGACCAGTGTAGCTTTGATTCTGACCTACAGGATGTTGACCCGCCAGATGACAGGATCAACATCATCCAGCGTCTTCTAGCCCGGATGGAAGTGACAAGCTATTCAACAGCCTTTTCAGGCATAGACAGTCCTGGTACCGCTTTCGCACAGCTACGCAGCGCAGCGACCCATTTCTTGGGGCGAGACCAGTTGTCTGCGCGGCATCCGCCGCACCTTCATGCAGCGGCGCCTTGGTGCTTTTTGCCCAATGTGTGCTACGGGGGGCCCTAACTAGCATTTGGCCATGTGGCTTTTGCGGACTTTGTTCTTGAACCATACATAATAAGCACGTGTAGCCGTATTGGGTTCCCTGGCCGACTTGACAGGAGTGGAATCCGGCAAGTTGCAACGAATGCCTGCATCATCCACACCCACCCCAATGTATGTTTGGTGACATATCGGGATTCTTCGTGCCAGCCATCCAAAGCATGTTGACTGATCTTCGCAGCGGGCAGCAACTGCAGTCAACGCTGCAGCCGCTGGTGGCAGCTGGGAAGGCTGTGAAAGGGTAACCTGGCTTGTGTCAGCAAATGCTTGTTCTTGGTCAGCCATGCGGTTCTGTCAGGGTGGATATATCCCAACTCTGTGTAGCGACATTGCGTGTTACTTCGATGCACCCATCTTCTTCAACTCAAGGTCATCATGGTGCTTGGTGCACAAGCAGGAGTGCAGTGTGGTTGACCGCATTGGGTTCGTGCATGTTGCAGGGACACCGTGCACTGCGTACAGCCCAGCTGGTTTGTGTGACAAAGAAACAGCGCTCAGTTTCTGCCATTTCCTTGCATGGGCAGGGCTAAGAGGACTTTGCCAAGAACCTGTCATAGTGCAGGAATGCACAGACGCATTCCCTCGGGAGCTGTTCAGTCAGCTGTTGCCCACCTACGATTGGACCTTTGAGGTCATCTCTCCACAGCAGCTGGGGTGGCCTGTGAGGAGGCCCCGTCAGTGGGCTGTGTCTGAAGCTTAATTATCCACTGTCTCCACTCACTAACTCACTGACTGGCTAACTTGCTATTCGTCAGCCTTTCCAAATGCGACTCAATGGCAGAAGCGACATATGTGTTCAACTGAGGGGTCGGCACAAGATCAAAACGCTCGGGTTCAAGTCGCTGCTTCAATCCTTCACACCGAACTTCCATCGAAGCTGCTCAGTTGGCTGGGAGATGTTTTTCTGGGAGCACCTCGCCCTTACCTGAAGCAACTGCAATTTCCATATTTTCCCCTGCCTTTTGTATTGTCAATTTGTCAATGATACAAACTAAGCCCAGTGGACTCCACACCATGATTTGTCTGGTAACCTGCAACCAAGGACAGACCCTGAAACACTTGACGGTGAGCTTCGCTGGGCAGCATCCCGCCCAGAGAGTTTGTGGAAGCCGGATACCACTGAGTGCCCGACCAACCACCCCCACTGCGCTGATGATGATGATGTGTGGGAGCAATGCCTCACACGGTGGGAGCTGAACGCGTACACTGAATATGTACGTCAGTTCCCTGGAAGTGTGTACTCATTGAACCAGAACCCAACGTGCCGCGCAACCTACGCCAAGGGGCAGGCGGGTTATTTGTTTGAACACGGGTTTCTCGATCGAGTAAAAGACTTGACAAACGCAAGTCTAACGCTTAGCCTTCCATTTTTTCAAGGTTTCGAAGGTGCGTGATGTCCGCTTGACCGCTGCCAGGTTCTGATGACACTGACAGCCAGCACAAATCTGCTCATGAGCGCATTGCACAGGCGCTGGTTAACCAGCCGCGAGATGTTGAGCATACAGGGAATGCCAACAAATGTGTCTTTCACTCACGGCACCCCGTGTTCGTCGTTTGCGCTACGGCATGACCAAGAGAGACGTGGCCTAACGTTTCACCCTTGGCCCAGCAGGCATGCAATTTGCGCGCAAGCTGGGAACTCCATGCATACTGCTTGCTCCGGCTTGATCATCTTGTTTGTTTGCACACAGATCATGATGGATCCGGGCTTAATGAGTGTACACAGGTTTGATTTTGATAGGCGACACCGACTAGGCATACTTGATGGTGTTGCTTTATCGGTTGGTGGTGACGGCAGTGTGAAAGACACCCGCCAATTACCACAGGAAGAAGTTGAAATTGACTCCAGGCCCAAGCGGCGCAGGGTGCAATAGCTCAGAAACTCAATAGATCAAAGACCCCAGCGTTTACCATTTGAATTGAACTAGACAGTCGCATTCTTGTGTGTCAAGTCAATAGCTGTCTGAATGGAGGCAAACATTGATGTTCGACTCTTTGACTCTTTGACTTTGGCCAGTGCGCCAGTGAAAGTGAAACCGGAGTTGTTAGAGCATTAGAACACCTGAGCGCTGCGCCAATGATGTCGCTGCTAATTCAGCCACGTCGTCTCACATGGATTCCGTGTGTGCGCCAAATGCCATTGCGAGAGCTGGTCAAATGTGAACATGTGTTGAGTGCTTTCTGGTCACACTGATCAACTGAGTCAACTGCTGCATGATCATCATGAATCATGATCATGACCTAGCCAGTCGTACCGTGTTTGTCACGAGTCAACTTGTGAGCCTATGAGTCTATGAGTGCTTTATGCAGGCTGAGCGCCCCCGTCCCCAGGTCACCGGCGGTGATGATGACAACGGTCGGCCGTCAACATCCTCGGTTCAGAGTCAGGGCCTCTGTGACTCCCCGCAGTTGGTCCAGTTGGTGATCTGACAGTGATCTGATACCGACTCCAAGACTAGTTCAGGTTCCAAACAACGTGTGACCGCTGTGCGAGTTCAGGTTCCATAAGGCATAAGCCCACCACTGACCACAAGTGCATTCAGCTATGCGGCACTGCAGCGTGCGCTTTCTCAACACTTGAGCCGACTCGCCGTTTGCAAGGCTCAGCAAGTGCATGGATTTTGGACAGCGCATGGAAAACCCTGAGTCAGAAGACATGTGACATCACTGACTCATGCCGCAAGCAAATGCCACCACTTGTTCTGGTTTTGTCTTGACTTGAAACTTACTTCCCGACTGCTCCCAGCAACATGGCAGCACCGCCGCTCAAGCCTATGGCGAGGCCAGGCGCTAACGTGTACCAGCAGGATGCCACGCTTGCCGACATCTTCGGAGAGTTGAAGGGGCGGGTGCTCTTGGAGGCGATATGGTCGACCTATCAGGCGCGGAGCATGGCGCATGGCATGGACCAACGGACGGGGTTGGGCCAGGTTGGGATGTGAAACGTCAAAAACAAGTGTTTGGATGTAGTTAAACGGTTACCTGTGTGCCATCGTATCTGTGCGCCAATTCAGGTCGGCGAGAAACAACGAGTGCGCTTCTTCATCGATGACAATTCGACTTCTGGCACGCCGTTTCCGCAGCGCGTGCGGAACATAGCGCGCCACGAATACAACCAAAGGTGCCAAAGTGGTGTTAAGAAAGCTTATGTGGCCAGCGTCAAGAGCCGCGGAGTGGTTGAGGCTGTACGGGGCGAGGCATGGTTGGTCCAATCAGCCAGTGCCACTTCTGGCGACATGGCCCGAGCGCCTTATCGAGCGCTTTCATTTGCATCTTTGTGCGAGAGCTTCTACACCGCGCTCAATGAGGATGGTGACTCAAACGGCAATCTGATGATATCGCTAACACGCGGCCTTGAGGCCCGTGTCCTCGACCATCGTATCCCCCCCTGCATCAGCAAGTATTTGGTCAACTTGCACAATCGCTTCCACTCAGGGTCATCAACATCATTCATTGAGTTAATTCAACTCGTCCCTGATGCGGCTGGGACCGATTTGGGTTTGTTTTCACTTGTTAGTTAGTTTGTTTGCTTGAGTTTAGCGGCGTTCTACAAGTACTCCGCGTTCCGTGTTCTGTCTATGTTTTGTTAATTTGTTAAAAACACTTTGCGCATTGTATAAGGTTGAAACGGAACTGACGCAGTACAAGCTGCAGAACGGCATCACATGGTCACAGAAAGACTACGAGAGCCGGTGTGCCTTTGCTTGCGTTGTTCACACTTCAGGTTTACCAGTTTTACCTTGGCTGTAGCTGCGAAACTTTACTGGCTTCTTTACTTACACTGGGTTAGGCCTGTAATCCAGTGGAGTTACCCCCTAACCGACTGTGGCCATCCTAACGCTCACCAGGTGCTGAGTTCTTGAAGCAACACACCGACTTTGGTGAGGTGTTCAACGAGTGGCGCTTGTTTGAATCCGCAAGAGCTTGCTACAACTTCTTTGGGAAGAAGTGGAAGCTTCTGGACGGACCTAACGGCTTGGTGACGGTCATGGGGGAGTGTGTTGACTTCTTGCACCCGCGGCTCCACAACAGCATTGTGCTGCAAAACATCCAGCATGTCACGACGTCAATCTGCACTGCCTTGTATGATGGCCTCAGCGATGATGACTTGCGGGTGCTGATCATGGAAGCTGCCAAGCTATGTGCTCCCTGGCTAATGTTAAGTTAAGTTGTAAGTTGTGGTTTTTGCAGAAAACTGATTTGCCTAGTGTAGTCTTCCCAGTCTTCCCATTTTTCTTACCATCAGATCATCAGCAATTTGTTGAACGAGTAACTATGGTGACCAGTGGAGACTCGGGTTCAACCAATTGGAGCAAGGCGTAACAAGAGGCATGTTGGTGTCAGCTGCGCAGTCAGGTGCCTATGCTTGACAGTCCGAATGCGGACACCAACTGGGTGTTTGACACGACGAGCAAAAAGTCATCAGTGAGCAGGTTTTTCACACTAATGACCGGGTCTGTCGTCACCTCTGGACAGAAGCCAAACAAGAAGGGCGACAAGGAGAATGTGCGCCCTGCCAAGAAAGCCAAGGCACGCCCGAGTGCCAAATCTAGGGGGGCGCCAGTGCCGAACTTGCCCGAGGAGCAGAACGTGTCCATGGCCACAATCGCCTGCAGCGTTGGGGTCCGTAATAAGCTGTGGGTTGATGATTTGATCGGCTGTGTCAACCATGTCACGCAAAGCATCCATGAGATGGACAATGATTTGCCGGTCATGGAGCTGAAGAGTCACTTGATCAGGACTGGCTTGATCTTTGCGATGACTGGTTCCATCGTGCTGGAAACACCTTCTGGAACGAAGCAGCATAAGCGATGGAGCACGTTGCGCCCCGCGCTCAAGCAACATGGACTCCACATGATGGTCCAGGCACGGCAAAACATGTACTTACGTTTATAGAACATTGAATATTGAACATTGTTGAATTGTTGAACGCTTACCTCACACGTGCAACCACTTGCCACTCGGCCACTCACACTCCCCGATGTGTAGAGCTTGCAACTTGACTTGCCCACGCCCCACCCCCGCCTGTCCTTGCGCAGAAGATGAAGGGCAAGATGGACTCTGCGCTGCAGGCGGACACGGCAGCAGGTGCTTCATCTGGCCTGCAGCGATTGGAAGCGGCAGTTGCAGAGCACAGTGAGAAACTGTTCACGGATGTCAAGACTAGCAAGGTTGACAAGCTGAAGTTGTTCAGCCCCGACGTCATGGTGTGGCTTGCGTCTGAGCAGGGCAACTTCACCAACACGGGCCACAACAAGCTGGCTGTAACAACCCATGCCACATTTGGGCGGCTAAAGGCTGAAGTGATGCTTTCTTGCACATGCACTGCTTCGGATGAAGCATCATCAGCCACGTGCTCTCTGCACGCGAGCGAGCCATCGCTGGCCGACCTGGTTTACGAGGTGACCCGCCATGTTCACACAGTGTTCACTGACAACTTTGTGTGTTTCGCCAACATCCTGGTCGACCACACAGTTGCAGGCTCGACCCTGCTCACGTGGCGGTTCGGTGGGTGGAAGTAACAAAGTGATGCGCAAACTACCCCCCTGAGTTTGTAAGTAGTATCATAAGTAGTACTTGTACACTTGTACACTGCACATAACTTGTGAATTGTTTCAGACTGTTTCCCAACACAACGTCGCTGCTCGTCAATGTGATTGTTCCCAGGCTGGGCTTTGCCGGACGACGTCCTCAAGAACATGGGCCTCCAGCCATCGGACGCGGCGACACTCCTTCGACTCAGGGCCATGTACATCACACAGCTGCTCACCAGCATTGCTTCGGTCACCGCTTCCAACCTGAAGCTCCTTTTTGCACGGCTCGAAAAGAGAATCACGTTACACCAGCTTGCTGATCTTGACTCATGCTTGCTCTCATCCGAATCGCTGTATGCAGGGTGGGCCGGCGCACTGGCCAACCTCTTGGTGCAGGGAACGTTCGACTTGAAGGCGATTTTGATGAGCAAAAACATCAAGCCCATCACGCGAACTGCGATCACTAGCTGTGGCGGGCATTCAGCAGTGGAGATGGCAACAACTGCCACTTCTGGCAACGGCAATGACGACGCGTCAGACGCAGAACACACAGCCGAGTTCTCATGGAGAGAGCTCTTCAACTACGGTTCGTCGCCCGCGGTGCTCGAGTCCGACTTGATGCTCATGTTCCAGCTTCAGGTGCAGACCCACCTGCTCGACATGGCGCGCGGCGTGGAGAAGGATTGGCGTGACAAGGTTATCATCCACGTGACCGACTCTTCGACAGGATCACGTGGTCGTTCCAAGGTAGACATGTGCAGTGAGATTTGGATCCGTCTTGACCAAGAGGCGGCTGAGTCTGTTCTGACATCGCCAATTGACGCGACGCTGAACATGTACCGACTGCCGGCCGACTTCAAGCTCATGTTCTTTGGCTCGGTGGGTGACTCGACGGCTTGATAACTTAGACAACATTAGAGCAGGTGCAATCGGCCGGTTGACTGGTTGATACGTTTTTTGTTTTAAATGTCTCTGATCACATGATCACTGTTTCATTGGTTTAGATTTGTATTTGTTGGCCAAATGATTGATGATTTGATGATGATTGGTAACATGTTTGAGATGCCAATGTGAGGTGAGTACACTATGGACCTTGTGCCTGCGAACGCCCGGACCCGAGCGCAAGTGCAGCGCGGGCCAGGGAAACCAGTGAGCCAAGTGCCGATCTCTGTGAAGAAGAATGACTCACAGTTTGGAGCCTTGGCAAAGAGCAAGGAATTGGTGACCTTTTGTTTCCTTTTTGCAATGCTTCCCAAACGGCTGAAACCGAACCCATTGAAAACACAGTAAGCGCAGTAAACGTGACCAAGGGGGCATCAATTTCGCAGTTGACGGCGCCGGATTCTCATCGCTGGATGTTTCATCTCCATGTGCTGCGTGGATGGTTCCAATGATTATGGATGAGAACGCGCCTGCCTCTTTGCAATGGTCAACCATTAGTACAACCATGATGTTTCAGGGGGAAAAGATCGATATGGATGTTGGGGCCCTCGTCCCATGCAAGAAATCAGACGGCATTTGCTACGTGAAGAACGTGCGTGGCCAGGCGTACGCCATCCTCAAGCGAGGATTGTTGCCAACTGGTCATCACAATAGTCAGTTGGTGTGGTTTCGGTGCTTCATTTTGTTGTTCCTCTTATTTGTAGCGGTTGCCTTACTATGCCCATTTGCTTGGTTAAGGGTTCTGGTTATCTGCCAAACCACTCGACTCAAAGCGCATTCTGATGTCGATTCCCAGGCCTGGTGAGAAGTTCAAGTCCAAGGGCAAGAGGCGTGATGAGCTCCCTGCTGAGGGTGGCGCTGACGGTGAGCCTGACGTTGTTGCGCGTGGTGCGTCAGGGTGTGTCAGGGACAAGCTGGGAAAGTCAAACTCTTCAGAAACCGCCCCCATTCTGCTGAAGACTGCAAAAGATGCAAGGCACCTAGTGAAGTGAACATTGAATGGGCGCGTGCATCGGTAGCATGTGGTGTGGGCTACTGGTGCTTCCATGCAGAGCCGTTGACCAGAATCATCATTGCTGCGCGGTGGAAATTGAAACCCATGCAGCTTTGGATGTTCATTTCATTATGTTTTGAAGCTCTTGATCCAGCAACATCATGAGCTTGGTTCTTAGTTCCTGCTTGGCACTGATGCTTGGTGTCGCCTGCTATCCAGGCTTATCCGTGCATCGCTCGCCTCATCCTAATCCTTTTAGAGGGTACGGGTACTGGGGGTAAATGCCCATTTGCCAGTTGCCAACATGGCATTTTGCGTGAGAGCAGTTGAGCCGAGGCATCACAACTGGAATGCAGTAATACTTGTTCCAGCCATATTTGACTCAGCAACCGCTACCACTAAAAAGCCTAATGTAGAGTGTTATGATGTCATCATCAACTGCTTTCATGCGTTCCACCGCTCATGTGGTTGGGAGCGGTAACGGATGAGCGTGTCAAACAAGTGATGAGAGGAGTGCGTCGAAAACGCGCGTTTCTAAGCTGAGTGTGGCTGTTAAAACCTATGGCGTTGCTGCGTTTCGGTCCTTGTTGTGATTATGTCATTCGCCCCTCCCCTGCCCGCCTCAGGTGCCTACGCATGGCATCTTGCCGCAAGTGTCCGCTTCGCGGATGACTGCGGATGGCTTGAACCACACGAAAAAAGGTGTGGCGGCTCTGCGGGGGCCAACAAGAGTTAGTCATCTGCCTTTGGATTCCTTTGTGTGTTTGTCTGGCGTTGTTTGGGGCAAAATTGCCTAGTTGCGTTAGTGTTGTGGTACTTGGCGGTTTGATGGCCTAGAACTGGCCCAGAACATTTGAGCTTTTCCATTTGGATCCCTGTGTGGCTGGGCTGCGTGTTTGAGGCATTGCTTTCAGCACAGTGCTCCTTGAGCCAACTCCTAAAAGGTCTAGGGCCTAGGGTTGCCTGGTTGGTGCAACCTTGGCCGCTGACCCGGCTTCACTTTTCAGAGGGCTACGCACGTGCCTACCTCGTGGGCGACGCACGTCCTCAAAACCGAGATTTGGCAAGATGAAGGTTAGCGCCTTCGCCGCCCTGGAAGAATTCTTGAAGCATCCCGGGTCCCGACCATTTTAACTAGGTCCCCCAGTAGTGCCCTTTTACCGTTTGTTTTTTTGGGGAGGGTTCCCCTACTAAAATAGACTAGAGGAAAAAGGGTACCCTTAGTCTAACCTCTCTACTGGAGGACCTAGTTAATGCAAGGTTTTGCTTCTGACTCAAGTTCTTTTGCTGGATCGGCTTGATCGACTCACCCGTTGGTTGCTGAGGTACCTGTGAGGAAGCAGAGGCGGTGGGCTTTCGGGGGGGCTTTTGGGGCCAGATTTGAAGTCCTGTGCAACCTACAAGCTGCCCACAGCTTTTATATACACATAGCTTTTATAACATAGGATATATATATATATATATATGGATATATATATATATATACACATGTGAACTCATACATTCACCTAGATACATGCAGTGTGCATATCATCAATATTTGAGGGGATCTGCAAACGAGGGCTGCCTACTTCAGGGGCTGCGTTGGGGAGTTCTTTGGCAGTCCATTCCCTTTCAGATAGCTACAAGACGATTTTTCGTGAGCATGAAGCTGGCAACTTCTTCATCCGATTCCGGCAACCATACTTTTAGTGCATTCTGCTTGGATGTTCGGGCTTTAACTTTTTGCCAACTAATCTGTTTTCCATTAAACCACTAACAGTTAAACTTTTAGCAGGGCTTCGCAGAAAGCAACCGAGATACACTGAGCCCACTCGGGGGAGCCATTGCATTGGGGCTAAGCGGAGCCTACAAGCAGCTTCATCGGGTGCACTCCCAGTGAGTCGGCGTTTACGGGTCGCCGCTTCGACCGAAAAGCATCAAATGAGCCATCAACACCTGGGCAGAAGGCTGCCAACATCGGTGCCGATCTCCGGCCTGTTGATTCTTTCAATGGTTTTGGGTAGACTTATTCTTGGTGGCTCCCAGCCATCCCCTCAGCTTTAGTGTTTAGTGGTAGTTTCCATTTAACCCACAAGTTAAACACTTTTTAGCGGAGGATCCGAAAACGGAGAGCGCAGCTAAGCACCCCACCCCCCCAAAACCCGGGCTTTTCCCCCAAAAAAAGGCCGTGCCAGGTTTTGACTTGGACTCAAATGGATTTGTGTTCTCCTTGGCGCTGAGAAGTGCCCGGAGGTTCTACGGTTTTTTGCCCGATCCGCGTCCCGCCAGCTGAAGGCTGGCCGAACTTTGAGCGAGGGGGGGGTCAGTGCTCGTTGTAAGGGGCGATGACGCCTCTGTTGAGGCTCTCGTTCGTCTTGCTGATTTTGTTGTGTTCGTCGGCGTCGTTGTCGTCGTCGTCGTAGTCGTCGTCGTGGTCGTCGTCG